AGGGATTAGAGTTTAGGGTTTAGGGTTCAGGGTTTAGGGTTTAGGGATTAGGGTTTCGGGTTTAGGGTTTAGGGCGTCTCGCCGCGCTGCGGCAGTAAGTACCATGTAGAAATGGCGCCCCGACACACCCAGGGGTGTGAGGGGGCGGCATATCCCAGTCTAGACAGGGAGATACGATCTCCTCACAAAACAATTACAAATTTCTTTTCCCACCCGCTGTGAGCTTACACAGGCTACCACCAGCCCTCAATTCCCACTTCTGCCATGTCGGCACGCCAGCCAAAAAGCCCCCCAAAATCGTGATGGCCAAATCCCCGGCAGGACCGGCCCGGAGCCCCCGGCCCCTGAAATGTGCTCGCTGGAGGCTCCGGGGCCCCTGGCCTGGGGGCCTAATTAGGGAAAAAGGAAATGTCCACCGAAGGCTTTCGTCATCGGGTTTAGGGTATTCTAATCTAGGAATTCCCCTGCAAAAACACCCAGGCGGCCCAATGGCAGGGCTCAGCCCTAGNNGGGCTGAATTTGACCATTCTCCAATGGCTCCACCCATTGTCCATTTCTTGGTGACAATCTCTTATGGGTCCAGGCACCCTAGAAAAAGGGTGGGTACGGCCTAAGCAGGCCGGGTGGGAATTTAGGGTTTAGGGTTTAGGGTGTAGGGTTTAGGGTTTGGAGGAGAACCCGGGCCTCCAGAAACTGATCTTCGCCTACCTTTTCCCGGTGACTGGGCTTTGGAGTACCATACTTTAGGGTTTAGGGTTTAGGGTTTAGGGTGTACCATCTTTAATACTTTCGTTGGGACCTGTTCCGTAAAGGAACCTTTATGAAATAAGAGTCTATACTTTTTTCTCCCTTGTTACTTCAAAGCCCAGGTGAACTTGGTCCTCATCACCTTGACAGGACCCGAAAACCTGAACCCTAGACCCTAAACTCTAAACCCCTAAACCCCTAAACCCTGAACCCTAAACCCTACCTTTTCCCGGTGAACTTGGTACTCATCACCCTGACAGGCGGAGTTCTCTACACCGGAGCTGCCGTCGCCACGCCGGCGGCTTTCTTCGAGAGGAAGTGCTCTTTGCTGGACGTGCTGCGTTGCTTGGTGTTATCCTGGGTGGGTAATCTACTGGGCTCCTTGCTCTTCGCAGGCTTCATCCTTTGGTGCGATTTGCTTGACGACCGATCCCAAGCCAGCTTCCTGTCCATTGCCGAGAAAAAGACCAGCGCAAGGTTTGATGTGACCTTCGCTCGAGGTATCGGCTGCAACTGGATGGTCAGCATGGCCGTGCTCCTCTCTGGGCAGGCTCAAGACATGTTTGGGAAGGTAGTGGCCATCTATCTCCCCATCTCGACCTTTGTGATGTTGGGATTCGAGCACACCCCTGCCAATTTCTACCTACTAGGAATGACGGTGGAGGCTGGAGACATGTCTTTCCTTGATATCCTCCTCAAGAACTTGTTGCCAACTACCCTGGGCAACCTGGTTGCTGGTGCTCTGGTGGTCGCTGGGAGCTACTCGTACCTGGGCTTTGGAGTACCATACTTTAATATTTTATTTGGGACCTCTTCCTTAAAGGAACCATTATGAACTAAAAGTCTACATTTTTTCCTCCCTGGTTACTTCAAAGCCCAGGTACTTCTTCGGCAACTTGGGGAACGCCACCATCAGCGAAGATACAGAGCCTTTCCGCCGCTTGCAGGCTCAGAGGTCCATGGGCATCGAGTCCGACATTGAAGACCCAGAGACTTAGGGGTACTTAGAAATATGTTTTTAATCTTTGGCTACTATAAAGCTTAAGAAGCAGCTAAAATCATAATTTGTAATCTTTGGTTACTATAAAGCCTAAGAAGCAGCTAAAATTATAGTTTTTTTGCTAGGGGTCTAAGTTCAGTATAGGAGAACCAGCCAGCAAGCGACGAGCCGAAGCGCTACACGTCGCGACAGTCCGCATTCTCCACGTGCGCCCCAAGTATCAGCTCTCGAGTTTCTTAGATAGCCAATGGGAGAACTTTAAGCTTTTTGTCCCGGGTTTAGGGTTTAGAGTTTAGGGGTTTAGGGTTTAGAGTGTAGGGGTTTAGGGGTTTAGGGGTTTAGGGATTATATTAGATCTATCTTAAAAAGTTTGAACTTTTTTTGGCCTGGTTCTTGAAGAAGAGAGGTTTCCTTCGTGCCGGAGGGAGAGGAGGGTCCTGACTGGGACGCAACTTACCTATAGTCTCCATTGTAGTTCCTTTTCTTGGCTTAACCCATTTTATATTAAGAATACAATGGCGACTGTAGGTAGTTCTCCAATACCAAAACTTTAATAACTTTTTTGGCTCTTACAGATGAGTAGTAATCTGAAAGTTTAACATTTTTTTCCCTGGCTTATTGGGGAAGTAAGGCAATACCAGTCGGCAAGGTCACCAAAGTGAACCCTGTGTGATTGGCCTAGCAGTGCCTAGCAGCCTGGCGGACCTTTATCCGCAAGGTCTGATTTCTCACCTTGTGCCCGTGCATAGCGCTGGCGATGGCAGTTCCTTCCAGGAAGCGCCGCGGCTAGCTTTCTAAGAGAGGATTTCGGGTGCTGTACAATGGGAGTATGGGGTAGCGTTCTGGAGTGGCTTTATATTTAATGTACCAAATTTACATTTGGTTTTGATATTTTTAATACTAAATCTCATGACATGATCCAAAACTTAGAGCAGAATTTAGAAGCTGGAGTTCCATCCAGGGACCTGACCTGGAAGGCTGCATTTCGCCGGCAGTTCCCTTAGGCTATTTAATGCCAACATTTTCAGAATATTTAAGTCGGCATGTCACCTGTGCCTGCCGCCTCTCTTGCAGATTTTGCGGATGCTTTCCTTAGCACGAAGCCTAGGGAAGGTGGACAGTTTTTCATCACCTGCGTGCGATGCACGCCAGTGTCATTGGGGATGACACAAACCAGTCGAGACCTCTTGCGGACTCCGCTGACAAACGCCCCGATTCCTAGCACTTCCGCAAGTTTCATGTCGACTTGTAAGTTTTGGGTATTTTTGACTGAGCAGCCTGAGCAGCAATGCTGCTATCAGTGATGCTGCTAGCGCGGCTGTGGTAGACTGCGCCTTCTTACTGTTTTAGCCTCAACCACTAACATCCTGCAGGCCAAGTGCTGCAAGTTTCCAAAGTTTACACCCCAAACCCAAAACTGCCTTAAACGCCAGACCCTAAACCCTAAACCCTAAACCCTAAACCCTCAACCCTAAACCCTAAATCCTAAATCAAAAAGCTGCCCAGCGCAGCCTCTGTGCTTCTGCACCTGCCATGGCCCGGCGGCGGCGCTCTGGGCGCGCGGCCGCGCTGGCGCAGGCGACGGCCAGAGAAGGGTGGCGGGGAGTTTAGGGGTTAAGGGCTTCGGGTTTAGGATTTTAGGGTTTAGGATTTGGGGGTTTAGGGTTTAGGGTTTAGGAGCGTTTCGGGTTGAGGGTTTTCGGTTTAATCAGGGCCTATAGGGTTTAGAGTTTAGGGTTTAGGGTCGCGTGTCGGCTACCAGGCCTTGCGCTGCAATGGAGCTTTCAGGATTTGAGGGGCCCTAAACCCTAAGCCCTAAACCCTAAACCCTAAGCTGAAGCAAAACCGAGCCACTGGCCCAGGCCCCAAGTACTTGGAGGTTCATGGGTAGCTACAAGTGGAGTTATAAGTCCCCTGATCTGGGTTATAATTACAGTTACGCTACTTATAACCCCACTTTTAACTACCCATGAACCTCCAAGTAATGTAGAAGCCTGAATACTTACCAAGATTACTCCTTAGGGTTCCTTGCAATAGTTATACTATGGTATACTACGAAGGAGCCCAACACCCTATTACAAAAGTGTTGGGGCCGCTTCACTAGTAGATTTACCATGCCCTGTCAGGGCCACTTTCCCAAATCAAATCTGTTCAGTTTAGGGTTTAGGGTTTAGGGCTTTGAGACCCTAAACACAAAAGCCAGTTCAGTTTCAGGTGAGCCCCAAACCCTAAGACCCTAAACCCTAAATCCGGTTCAGTTGAAGGGGAGCCCCAAACCCTCAAGTCGGGATCTCCAAGGACCACATCGCTGAGTAGTTCAGATGTCGGAAGAATCAGTAGCACTATTCCGAACGGGTCCTTACCATACTTTTAGCCCTCTAAAGTAAGTGCCTGTTGTTGCAAGTACACTCGTTCCTACATACATTCCTACAGTGTCATAGAATGCACATACAGCTGCCTAGCAACCTACCGAATGGCCATACATGTGTGTATGCATATCCACTTACACTCCGAAGGCACATCATTTGTGTACTTGGAGGTTCACGGGGAGTTATAAATGAGGTTATAAGCAGGGTAACTGTACTTATAACTCATATTAGGAGACTTATAACTCCACTTATAACTACCCACGAACCTCCAAGTACTTTCCTGCCATTCATGCCGGTATCTTGGCTTCTCCATAACCCTATACCCTAAACCCTAAACCCTAAAACCCTAAACCCTATACCGGCATCTTGGCCTCTCCCTGCGAGGCCATCGTCATCTTGCTGGCGCCTGCCTTGTGCTCTTTCGTGACTGCAGGCTCGGCTCGTCGTCTTGGGGCCTCCAAAAGTTTCTTGTCTACGAAGGATGCCTTAACAATGAGTTACGGTTTAGGGTTTAGGGTTTAGGGTTTAGGGTTTAGGGTTCAGGGTTTGCCTTAACAATGAACTGACCTCTCTTATTTGGGGGGGGGGGGTTCTTCTTATCATTGTAGTTTAAGATACTCCAAAACCCATGCTTGCAGAGCTTTCGGGGGGGTTGAGTGTGGATTCCCGAATGTAGGGTTCCAGCTTCAAGCATGGGATGTATGGCTTCAGGGTTTACGGTTTTAGGGTTTAGGGTTTAGGGGCTTTAGAGCAAAATCCTAAACCTTGAAGCAGGCTTTAGGTATTCTCAGGGTGTGTGGGAAAGCTCTTCCATATGAGTGCCTCGCGGGACGGTAGGCCTCGAAGTCTGTCATTTCAGGGTTTTGGGCATCTAGGGTCTGGAGCCTAAGCCCTACTGACAAGCTAGACTCCCACACCGATTCCCTGCATCGTCTGAAACTGCCGCAGACAGAGACCGCAAGAGACCGACCGCTTCTCGCCCCCTTTTCGTGATCACGTGTGGATGTTGTTTTGCGGGGCTCATGCTAGGCACCTAGATTCTCTCCGTTGTAATCCTAACCCTAAACCCTTGAACCCTAAACCCTGAACCCTAAACCCTAAGCCCTAAACCGTAAACCCTAAACTAAACCCTAAACCCTAAAGCGAAAGCTGCGTCAGGTCAGGGTCATATGAGATGTTTACAGGTTAACTACCTATAGTCTCCATTGTAGTGCTTTTTGGGGGATACCTTATAAAATCCTGAATATAAAATTGGTTAGACCCCAAAAAGGAACTACAATGGAGACTATAGGTAACCATTTTGAGCCGAAAACATGGGAGCCGCTCTGTCGTCACAACCCCAAAGTTACAAACAGGGTCAAAGTTCCCTTTATGAAAAAAGGAAACCTGAAGCCGTCCGTCCCCTGCATCAGATTTGTTTTCGGGACAGGTCGCTGCGCAACTCTGTGTTTGAGGTTCCTGGGGCGAAACCCTGACCCCCGAGTCCGGAACTCTCAACCGGCTGGAATACGTAGTATGCATCCATTAGCATCAGAATGCTGCTGCTGCTGCAGCAGCAGCACCTGCTCCGGCACCCGCTCCCGCACCCGCACCCGCACCATCACCACCACAACCACTATTCGTTTAGGCTTCCTTTTATAATTACGTACACTGGAATATACACCAAAACCCCATTCTACTGCTTAATGCCCCTTTAATGTACGTGAGGCCGTGCTGGGCGCAGGGTACCACAGCGCACCTCCCGGTACGCGGAGGCCGCTAGGGGCCGTCTTGCAACGCGTACGGCAGCAGACAGATTCCGCGATGTCAATGGATTGGTAGTCAGGGTGACGGGCCAGAAACCACAACAACAACAGCAACAGCAACGGAAAGAATGGAGCAGCAGTGTTCAATGTTGATTTCAACAGTTGTCGCGCCGTCGTCGGGCACCACTGTTTTCAGGGTTCGCTGTTGAATGTGAGACGCTGATTGGCGCGGGGGTCCCCAGCAATGGAAATGATTGATAAACCCTAAACCCCAAACCCGAAACCCTAAACCGGCAAGAAATGGAATGCTTTGCCGGTCTGAGTCCAATTTTGGAAGCAGGGCTTCCGAAATTATTGAATTCAGCTCCGACCTTGTTGGGGTTTAGGGCGTAGGGTTCAGGGTTTAGGGGTTTGGGGTTTAGGGTTCAAGGATCATGGGACTTAGTAGCTAGGCCTCTCCACAAAGGTTTACTATAATGCTTTTATAGGAGATTTCCGGTGTAGGGTTTAGGGGGGCTGCTTGGATTTGTGTTGAGACTATGACTACCTATCAATGCACAGCTTTTCATGCCCTAAGCCCTAAAGCCTAAACCCGCACTGGGCAACGGCAGCCTTGCACGATCGAAGCATTCTCTGAAGCATCTGAGCACAAAGCAGCTGAAGAACTAGGCTACTGTTAGGGCGGAGGGTTTAGGAGGTAGGACTGTCATGTGCCATTATACGTACTATTACTAATACTTTTGCGATGACTATATTGATATAACTTATAACTACGTAGTACCAGTGCCAGATTATTGGGGGCGGGTGAATTTTACTTTTGGTTGTTTGGGGCGGAACCCCATCACTGATCAGCGTTCAACTGTATGCCCTAAACCCCTAAACGG